CATTTATTATTGAATAATGCTTGATCATGTATTGCCTGGAAATGTAAAGTTGATTCTGAGTTCAAATAATTTTAGCAAAATGACAACAAACCCCACAGGCTGTTATCACAGTATTCTTCAAAACTAGGTAGTTGTAAACCACTATTTTAGCCACAGGTGCCCTGGGGCAGACCAACTGAAACCACAAAAACGAACTCATCCACCAGATTCATACGCAGCAATGTGGGTTTAATGTCTTGCCTCAGGATTCACAAACCTCATCCATCACACTGTGGCATCGGGTATTCAGTTGTCTCCCATCCTACTACTAATTAGACCGTGCACTGCTTAGCTTCTGAGATCAGGTAAGAACATGCTTTGACAAGCTGGAACATTCTCATGGCACAATATGGTCAAAGCTTTTGTTTGTGTACGGGCATGACTTTCTTTAATAACCAAATATGATTGTATTTTGTATCATCTCATCGTCAGTTCTTTGCTGTTCTCATACTGTATTTCATTATCGGGTGATTCTTAGTGATAATTATTCTGCACATAACAAAGTGCTAGAACATGGTTTATGTATTCTCAGCAGATAGTTTTTGTTAACATTTCTTAAAAATATTTTCTCGTGAACCTCTAATCAAAAAGCCAAGTGACTCACAGCCTTAATTAAAACCGCATACATCTTGTTCTAGTTGATGTTTCAGAAAGCGTTTGGATTTTAGGTTCTCTGATTTCACTCCATTTCGGTTCTTTTGTTCCTGACCCAATTCAGGGCACTTTTTTTCTCAAGTTGATGTGTAATTACCAAGCTCTAATCCTATTATTTGTGCACATCAAACCATATTTAATAGCATGTTTATCACAGTTCAACTCTGACTAGAAGCTGACAAATATTACACAAGATTTCTAGATCAAAAGGCAAGGAACAAATTTATGTTTTTCACTTCAAAATGTTTAAAAAGTATCCTGTTTTTATTCTGTGGGGATTGAAGCCCCTGGAACAATGTTGCCTTTTTCATTTAAGGTTTACACCAAGTGTAAGAGGAATTCATACATATCAAATAGCCGCCATAATAGTTGCAATTCCACATTCCTGCAGTGATGGAAATGTCGAAATAGACATTCTGAGATACATACAAATGCATATAGAACCAAACCAAACGTGTTCTGCAGGTTTTAAATAAAATCAAAATAAACTAATGTCTAAAATGGTTGGATGAATGAATCCTGTGTCGACTTAAGTCTTTCTGTTAGAAGATTGCGTTTTTAGGAAGGGTTTCCTCCAGGTGCACCAGACACAAGCATCATAGGTATCACCCTCCCTTTCTATTAGTCTTGACCAAGCTGAGGATCAACATCTGGATATAGGTCCCCGGGTGCTGCTCCGGAGAGAGGCCCGATGGTATTGCAGGATGGGTCAAATGCAGAGGACAGAGGCCCTACAGGGATAATAAAGTTCTATTACTTTGATTATGGATTCAGGCATATCACTTCTCCTCAACTGGTTTACATTTTTGTATTCAATGCAGTTTTACATTGCACAATAAATCAAAATGTGAAATATTTAGTGCACTTTCTTACAAAAACATTTTTCTTCGCTGTGATGACACCTAGCTTGTCCTTACAACTTGTTCTTTCCAGTTTTGGTTGTGTTTGTGTGTGTGTGTGTGGGTGCCTGCTTCGCTATCATCCCTCAGGGTAATGTAATATGTGACCTGGAGAAAATAGAGCGCCCGCTGATAGACCTCACGATGGCCCTGTCCGTTTGCTTTCTCTGGCACTCAAAAAGAGGGAGAGAAAAAGCCCGGACACTGCATTGGATGATAGCAAGCCACTAAACAAGAATGCAACATGGATCTCAGGATAACATTTCCTCGGCTACAGCTAGAGTGGGTAGACATATCTAATTGTCCCAGAAGATAGCGTCAGTGAGAGCACCATTTTCTATTTCCCAAGGCATGAAGTTTTTGGTTGATTTGACAGGCAAAGGGCATAAATATTCGAATATGTGTGAGGGAGAATGGGCAGGGGACAAGAAGTGGGTTCATCGCCAGTGTAGGGTCTCAGGGATGTGGGGTTACGTGGTGGTCAGGACTGTCACACTGCAGCAGTGCAAACCAGAGATTTGTTTGAATGAGTGGTGCATAAATCATGTTTTGTAAATGAAGTGGGAGAAGTGAAGGAGCAGCAGTAGCAGTACACCCACCAGCAGAACAGGACAGTTTGAGAAATCACGACACGACCAGGTTACAATGCCAACTGTATGAGTGTGTCGCTTGGACTCGAAGTTTCCAACAGCGTACTGTGAAATCAAGATAAACGCAGACAGTATTCCGACAGTAAAAGTATTTTTGTATAAACTAGTGTTTTATACGTATGGTCATTGATGCTACTGCAATGTTACTACTAAATGACAAGTATCTCAAAACGTTTTTTATCTAAATGAAATTCATAAAGATTTCACTGGATAATTCACGGATTCAAGAAAACACGTTGCATAGTCAAACTAATCTAAAATGTATACATTCATGTCTTATTCTACTGCTTATACTAGGCTAATAGGTAAATCAAAGTATGTGTCCCATGTTTGATAAGGGAGTCCCTTGATTGTTTCATATACCATTATGTTACTTTCTTAAAGCAACTGTATTCATGGTGCTAGACTGCTGAGGTTTAGAGAACTATCTAAACCTCTCAATTTGTCTCTCTCATGTTGTTTTGGAAACAAAGTATGAAAAGCTAAAATAAGATTGTGGCCATAATTTCCATTGTTTTTGAAAAGTATGACAACAATATGAATCCACATTTTTGTGGATTAAAAAGGCCAAATATGTAAATATTTACATATGTGTACATTAATAATGTTTATTAAAGTATATAAGTTACTTCCATTCAATAATATCAAATAGTACTTAAATATACTACTTTGATGCACTCTGGAGTTGTCTTGCATAGTTTTCCCAAAGTGGTTTTATTTCAAATGGCAAATACATTCTTGAATTTTGTTATTTATATTTTGCAAGTGCCAAATATAAATAACAAAACATCTGTTCCATTGTAAAGTTAATTACAAAGGGAGAGATATCCTCAGACTTATTTAAACAGATATGACCTAAATAGAATCTTGATAATAACCCATGTGCTACAGTAAAGTGATTTTACATATTTTAGAAAAAAGCATCTACTTTCAATCTGATTAGAATATGAGCCGCAGAGTATGGGCTTTTGTTGGATGGAATGTACCATAATAAGAATATAAACTATAATCATAATATTGGCCTTTCTGTAAAACAACTTGGTTGGTATAATCAGAATAGTATAAAACAATATTTCACCACCGTCATGAACAAGGTAATTTATGCGTATAGCTCACACCTACTGTGGTAATAATAGCATCTGATTATACAGACACAGTTTGAGGATGTATGTTTCTCTCTGTATGTGTGCAACCTAAAGACATACATTTATGGGTAATTTAGAATACAACTACGTGAATATTACATTCAAACTACAACCTACTTGCCTTTGGGGTTCTATTTTCAATAACCCTTTTAATATTTCCAATTTCTAGACATATTACATAGAGTTGATGACCAAATGCTTACTAAATAGGGGATGTGGTGAAAATACAATCCTATAGTGGATATTAGTTCCTATAGTGGATATTAGTTTTTATCTAATATCCACTATAGGATTGTAAAAATACAATCCTATAGTGGATATTAGTTCCTATAGTGGATATTAGTTTTTATCAGTTTCTCAAGAAACTTTGAAGACATGTCAAAGTTTGATTAGCTAAATATAACAGGATATACTGTAACAGATGCAATCTATTTGATGATTTGAGGCTTAGGACTTAAACTCCAGAATTTCCCCAACATGTGAAACAATCAGATCTTGTCCCACACTGTGTAAGCACTAATATTGTGTTTAGGATGGAGCCTATGTGCATTGCTTCCAGGAAGGCGGCCTAAAAATAGCCAAAGCCCTGGGCTCATAGACGTCTTTGGATAGCCTTGACGCTCAAACGCAAATAGAGGAGAGTAATGGATGTGTCCAAAAAATCATACTGTCCTATTCATCAACATGGCATTTGAGAGTGATTTCAAAAGAACATGGGAGATTTTGTAAACCGTTACATAACAGCCCAGTGCAGGTGATTGCCAATTACCATACACCAGGCTTAAAATGAATGTAGCTGTGTGGTTTATTGTGGCCCTTATACTTGAGCAGCTCTGAACCAAACCAACTCTACTGGAGGATATCTACAATAAAGGTAATTGAAAATGTATCAGCACGTTCTTTGAAGTGACTTTACTGTGGGCTTGTTTGATCGCAGCCTGTGCCGCTCGTGCAAAAAGCCAGACCTGAAATGATATAGCCCATAATAGCACAGATGTAATTCATCACATTTTTGGCCCCATTAAAAAAAGTGCAAACTATGAACATATCAGGCCTTAAAACTCGTCTGGAATTTCAAAGTGAAAAGTGTTAAGAGGTAACAACTTCAGTGTCAGCGTTTTGAGTGGGAGCCAATTAAACTGTTATAACTATTATCTTATGTAAAGAAGACATCATGATCATTTCATTTTTAGAAGATTATGCAAAAGCAGTTTGTAAAGGCTTCCCAAAGCATTGCTCTGCACCCGGATGTTTCTTTCACAAACTCATTTAATCAACAAAGATAAAAAAGATTTGCTTCGATGATTCATTGTGTCATTGATGTGTGCTTTCTCTGCATCCTGGAGAGCAGCGCGGGGGACAGGCCGAGCTACAGTGATACTGATGGGCCGATAAAGCCGTGTAATGATGCACAGAGCCAGTGTAAAGGATTCATTATGCATTTGGATTTCACTCGACATAAACATCTCCCAGCTGACCCTTTCATCACAGTTCAATTTTTCCCCACAACACAAAAACACACGAGTCAAACCCATTAATTATTTCTGCTGAACGAAAATAGCATTTATGCAGCTGTCAAGTATAGGTGCAAGTGCAACAGCAAAAGGCCTTACCATGTCCCCCCCTGGTGAGGAACGGCATCCGGTTTATGGCGATGGGAACCGTGCCATGTTTGTTGTGGAAGTGGTGTACGTGGTGGGTGGTGCTGAGGCTGGACGACACACGTGCAGTCCCGGTTTGAATGGGGAACACTGTGAGCAGGGCAAACCAAAGGAAGAGTCTGGAGCAGTACATGAGGCCCATGCCAAGGCTCAAGCCCGGCTGGCCCAGTACCGGGGCGAAAGGTGCCGGTGCCATGATGATATCAAATCCACACGCGTCCCAATCTGGTTTTGAATGCTGTGTGAAAACCAGTAGGCATGACAGTTGTGACTGGTCTCATTCCTTTGCGAATCCTTAGATTGTTTATCCCCCAAATCTACTACACGCAATTAATGTCAGAGGCAACTCAAGATGTAGCTTAAGTTCTTCTACTCGACATTTTCAACGCCTAAGTCTAAGTATAATGAGTTTATTCCAAACCAAAAACCATCCAAAAAAAAGAAGGGTGGCAAATCCAGGTAGAGATTCAAGCAGGTTTCACCATATTTAGCAAAGAGAGCAGGCAGGACGTCGCTTCCTCATGTGACAAGAATTCTGATAAGAGCCTCCATCGCCCACAGGTACGGCTGGGGGTGAGCTGCTCTGGCCCGGTGAAGACAGTCGCCCTGTGTGCAAGCACCGCAGCCGGGGGACATCCACAGGGACACGCCACATCTCATTAGGTGAAAAAAGACCAGAACGGGCCGATAAGAATAATCATAGATGTAGTGATGTTGGCCAACGCAGAAACCAGTGCTTTTGTTCCCCTTTTAGCAAGAGCAGAGGAGAGAGAGAGAGAACCAGCTGAGATAGGGAGGGGGAGAAGAGACTGCTGCAGCGCGCTAAAGAAAGAGAAAATCCACAAAATAAATAATGAATTCCGGAGCAGCTTCCCTTTTCCCTCTCAGCAGAAAGGAGAAAAAAAACCCCTGAGTACCTCGAGTTCTGGCGCAGATGTAGCGGTGTGTGTCTATTTCAAAAAAGCGCTGTGTGATGCTCTCCTCTCTCACGCTCCACCTGCTCAGTCTCATGCAGTAAAGACTAGTGCTGCATTTCCCCTCACCACCGTCACCAACATCGCCGCTGCCTCTGCTGCCGATGCTGCCGATGCTCCCACTGTTACAGCTGGTTTCCTTTCCCCCTCTCTCCTTGTTACCTTGTCCGGGTGCTATTTGTCTCGACAGTCCAAGTCTCAGAACAGCAGGCAGGTGACTTTTCCCAGCCCTCACATCCCAGCGATCCCAACGGTGCTTCGGACTGCTGCAGCGAAAATTATGCTAATTAAAAACACTGACGCCTCTTTAATACATCCAGCAGCCCCCGTAGAAAAAGAAAAAAAGCCAGGATTTGAGTTTGTCTCTAACGAAAGCGAGGGACAAGCAGCTTGTTTGAAGACATACTGTATTGAGACGCTGTGATCCGAGTTTGCGCGCATGTGTGTGTCTGTGTGTATGTGTGTGTGGGTGCGTGCGTGTGTGTGTATGTGTGTAAGGAAGGGGAGGGGGAGTGGAGGGAGAGAGAGAAAGGGAGGGAGGAAGAAGAGACAGAGGATGAGAAAACAGGCACGGCACTATAACATACAAGGAAAACGGTGAAGGCGAAAGAAAAGGACGAGAGTGAATAAATACACGCTTTAGAGATTCACAGGCAGGGAACACGAAGGACTTATGGTGCAGAGGAGGAGCCAGAGCGAGGTGAGCTGTCAGAGAGCCGACCAGAGGGGCTCGTATCGATGTGCGGAGATGCAACGGGATACAGCTGCAAGAGACTGTCCAAATGAAGCACTCAGATCACACACTCATGAGGAGGCAGAGGCAGGGGCTGAGGCTCTGGACAACCCCTCAGCTTAAAAGAAAACACTGACTTTGGCTTCGTATCTGATTTATCAAATTACATAATCCAGCGAACGGCTTTGGATGTCTGAAGCTGTATATGTGCAATAAATGATGATCGTAGGAAGTGATCACATGACTAACCCTAACCCTGTAGAGAGATCAGTGGATTGAGTTTTGGGATTTTGTTCTTTAAGGAATGAATAAATAATGAGAATCACACTAGGGCTCGTACCTGTTGAGGAAAAAGCTTCAATATTTATTTCACCAGCTGTTTTTGTATTGCTTTAAGTTGGAATAGGCATATAATTGTTGTTTTAAAACAATATATAATTGTTGTTTATCTACCCTTTTACTTCTCTACAATGTGTCCTAACATGGCTGTATCATTATGAATTCTTCTCCCTGTGTGCTCCATGATTAGTGTCTTGATGTCCAGCTCCGAATGCATCAGTTTCTGCTTGTTCCTCCTCCATCTGTACACAAGTCACTCCTCTATTAGAGAGCTCACTAGCTCGTTTCTCTCATGCTGCTTAACCATGCAGAACTTATTCCCCGCCATGACTTATCCAAGTTCAGACGGTTTCTGACACTTTCTGAACTGCTGTGGATTTTTGAGGGGTGGGAAAACGTGATTGCAAAATGAATTGGTGTGTATTGACGCTGGGGAGAATTACACATTATTAGAAACGGGCAGTGGGGCGTGATAGAAAAGAGAGGAAGAACGAAGGGAGGAAAGTGTGGCAGTATCGGCTAAATCACGGTCGATAGAGATATCAGCTGGGATTGCCTGAGCAGCTGAAAGGACACGCGTGGAAACAGGAGGACAGGGCGGGCCATGCAGCCGCTCCTCTTGCGCTGACAAGGAGTCGACGCAGGCCATTACTCAGGCAGGTCGGGGGGAGGGGGGCATTGAACACAAAGCACACGGGAGGGGCAACACTCACAGAGAGCACAGATATTCATCTGCAGCTAACGGGGATGCAGCTGTATGAAAAGCCTTTACACAAGTGACAGAAACTTTCTCTGCTGCAGGTAAATGCTGTCCTTATGTACAGTATGTATAAGTAACATCACAAACCCAGAAAGTTGTTCAACATCATTTCAAAGGAGATGTTACATTTGCCCAGAAGGTTTGACATATAATGAATAATTAATCTCCTTGAAGGGTGTTGGCTGAGTTATAGGTCAGATCTGTGAAGTTGTGAGTTAAATATGATGATGTTGAAGATTTTTGTTCCAAATATCATGACATGCAAAACATTGGATTGCTGAAGATCGACATCAGCAAACAACAAACACCTCCAACAGAAAATGCTATAAGCTAAAACTCAATGTGATATCATTCCAAATATGACAGTGATTCATTTCTGCTGAAGTGATAATTTACATAATTTTTTTGGAATGAATCATTTTAGGGTTTTTCAAAAGCAGTTTAAATGTCTCACACACAAGAAAAACAACTGAAGCAGTAATTGATACATATCTCACTGCATAGAACTAGATTTGCAGACTTGTCCCTCAAATGCACAAATGGCAGTCAATTGGAAAAGTGAGTCCATTAAAAAAAGCTTTTTGCTCTCCTTTAGTACAGATCACATTTCGACATCAATTTTTATTATAGCAGACAGCTTAAAAAACCTTATTCAGATATAAAAGCAAAATTATAAACAATATTGGTGAATCCGGACACAAAAGTGGGTCGCGGGATAATTTTTACTTTCAACTAGACTCCAAAAAACCAAAGAAATAAGTATATTTTACTGAAACTTCACTACATGTTAGGTGTTTTTAAATTCAAATGAAGAAAAAAAGTAATATTTCTAATTCAATAGTAAATTAGATACAAACTGAATTCACTTATATCAAGATTTGTTTTAATCTACTTCCTTGAGTCCAGAATCTGTTGGGAATAATTAGTTCATCATGTTAGCTTAGTATTAACTTAGCTATAGTGTTAGCCATAGTATTATTCAATGCTTATAAAACAATTATTGGTAAAATATTAGAGCTGCTCGATATTGGAAAAAAAGTGCAGTGTGCGATAGTGGTGGACTGAGATAACAATGTACAGTATTTTTCAATATTTTCTTTTCTCCAAAGTAATTATATTTGCAGGAAACACAAAATCAAATATCTAAATCAATTGATCATATAGCAACTTCTTATGTTGCCATGACGATATTCTCTTGGCCATATTGTTTGCTGTCATCACCGTGAGCGTACTCCAAAACATTGTAAGATTAAGATTTAGAATAATAAGGAAAGGAGTCTTAAAAATCTCCAACTTCAGTATAATGAAGACGCAAGAACATAAACCCCTGACTTTAGCATAATAAGGAGCAAGTATAAAATGGTGTAAATCCTAGAGCAAGTACAGTAATATATAGTATAGTTGTGTGACATGTTAGCAGCATGTGGGTAAAGCCGTTGTGTGACATCAGTCTGTGAAATGTGAATGTAAATAAAACAAGATTACATTATATCATTATACATTATTTAATCACTAATTATTGTTTTTTCATTTGGGGCGTGGCTTGGTGTTATATTGAGGGTAGGTTCCGACAACATTCCAGAACTTCCAGTTGGAAACCACTGACCTATATACAACAGTTACTAAATTGGTTTCAAACTGAAAACTCAATCCTTTAGGTGCCTGAACTTTGTAGCCTAAAAAAAAGGCAAACCCCATCCCATACACGCAGCACTTATATTAGGAATAAGAGTCAAATGAATTCCCTGTCTGTCTCAGTTACTGTAAGGAAGAGCATCAGAAGTGGATGATTTATTGCCAGCGTCTCTCTCTCAGTGTCAGCCTCCGGAGCGTCTACCAGGCAGTGATCATATCTTGGCACCGGGCTGTCGAGAATGAAAGGCCTGCATTAATCAATTTACAAGCTGCAGGCCTGCTCTACATGATGAAAGAAAGTCATGTGATGTGGACAACAAGAGGAGAGTTTGAGAGCGATGCATGTAACCTTGTGTCGTCCTTGGTTACCTAATCGGACCAGCCCTTGCTCATCTTTCACCTTCAAATCAAATGTATTTACTTACATTGGAGATTATATGAATGTAGTCCAAACATACAAGGGGTGGGAGTATTTTCTTTTTCTCCACTCCGTTTCCAGCAAATACATTGAAAATAAAGTTGTATCTATTTCTGTTCGAATGAATGAATGCATTAAACATACATGTGCTTTAGTACAGTACCTTTGTTTGTTGTATATAAAATAAGTTGATATTGTTTGGGGGACTTTGATGTTATTGTGAGTATGATATGAAGATGCCAACCCTAACTCCAAAAGTGCACTATGTAACTGTTTGTGAAAAAGTACTAGAAAAAAAAATCCAAAAAAACTTCCTTCAATGTTTGTTTTTTACTGT